CGAGGCCCCCGGGGCTCCCGCGGGTGCGCGAGGCGTTTGCTCTCCAGCCCGTGCGGTGTGGAGAGGGCCTGGGTCTCTGCCGGTCCGGCAGTGTTATCTCCCGATGATCAAAACGCACAGTAATCCCCCCGCGCTGCCGGCCCGGGGGTGACACTGCCGCACCCCCGTTACTTTGGGCCCTCGCAGCCTGGGCTTGGCCTCGCTGGGCCCGGCACAGGCCGATTTATCCACCCTGTGCTCCGCAGCTGCACCTCTGCGGGTGCTTTGCGGATGACTTCTCTGCAAGCTCCAGCCTGAAAAGGCTCGGACTGGGACTGGAGAGCTTGCCTGTGGATGTGTGTTTGTCACTTGGCTATCGCCACGATGACAGCCACACTTGAAGCGAGTACGGCGCCGTATGCACATAGAAATCGGGCTCCTGTACTCGTTTCCCAAGGCTGCTTGGCAGGGAGATGCTCTGAGGACACCAGGGTGCTGCAGAACACGATGTTCTTGGGCGAGGGCCTGCGGGCTCTGATGCCAAGGGGAAACGCTCAAGGTGTCATCCCAATCTGCCTGAAAGGAAGCTTTTTTCCCTCTTTAAACCTGTGAAACAGGTGCCCTTGCACTTACTGTGTTTCAACTCAGTCAGACCTTGGCAAACTTAAGTCCCCCTTGCGGGGTGAACTCAGTCCCTCTCCGCTGTCTGTCCCGAATGGCCGGTGCAGCGTGGCCGGCGTCGGCTCATCGCCTCCCCGGGGCGATCGCGGTGGCCTGGCTCGGTTGGGACATCCCAGTAACCCTGGTCACGGCGCTTGGAAAGGGGCAGTCTCTGGCCTTCTGTAACGTGCTGAGACAAAGGCGTTTTCAGGAGTCGGCTCAGCAGAGCGATGAACCCAAATGTGACCTGGAGTGGGGGGTCCCTCGGGGACCCTGTCAGCTGCTGGCTTATGGCCTGGGCTGCCCAAGAGCTCTGGGACTGCTGGGCAAAGCTGCTGGTCATTGCCTCAGAGCTCCGGTTGCTGGTCAGTGGGAATGGGCGATCGCGGGTCTGGTCCTTGCCTCAAAGCCCCGCGGATGGAGACGTGACTGAATGTATTTCAAAACCAGATGTGTTTAATCCTGCTTCCAAGTCCTAATTTGGGGGCCAGGAGCCTGGGTCTCGGTGTTCAGTATGAGCTGCTAAAGAAAGCCAATTTATCGCTTTCCTGGTGCCTGCTGCGTGGCTAAAAACCCCTCACAAACTGACGGGTGTCTCCCAACACTGGCTCGGCACAATGCAGAGCGGGGGCTGCCGGCAGATGAACGTCACATCCAGCTCAAAGATGTATTACATGTTCTAAAAATACACTGAAACCCCAGATATGAAGAACAGTAAATCTCCTTCACAATTAATGGGGTCAAAAGCCATATAGATCCAGACGGAGCGTAAACTCTCCTCGGGGAGCTAGTTAGAGCTGCGTACAGAGCGGGAATATGGCCCCCAGGGAGACATGGGTCTATTGCATTGCATCTGTTGGGCTGTGGATTGTTGATCCCGGAGCTTATCAGCTCCTTTTAGATCTCCTGCAGCCTCAGCTCTCACTGTGTAGGTGTTCCTGCCCTGCTTTGGGAGCCGTCTCTGAAAGACTAGGTATTTTTGACAGATTATTGGCATCTGGGTGTGCTGCCATCTGTGGGTCCTGGCAGCCATTACATGGTTTAGACGTTGCATCATTCTTGGGGGGTTTAAGATAAAGGCAAATTGTTTATCTTGCATTAGGTAGAAGGAGTAATTTGCGTCACTGTATTTCAGTGTCTCTGGTGTTTCTAAAGCATCTGTCGCTTTTGTATGTCCGTATGTGACAGATCAGCTGGAGAACTGGCTTAAATTTTCATTAAAATGTGAATTTGCTCTACGACCATCATGAACAAGCAGATGGCTCTTCTCTCTCCTCTTTTTCTGATCAGATTTTCCTTTTCTCCCAGAAAAGGAACCGTCTCTAGCAGCCACATGGTGGTGTATCCAGACAGCAGAGAAGCAATTAGACATTTACACTGCATCTACATTGCACTAGACATTACACTGCACTACAGCAAGGGGCTGTTTATCGTATTCGATGCCACTTGAACAGGGTCATTGGTACCCCCTGTCTTGTGTCTGCTGGTGGGCAGACAGGTCTCACGGCTGAGCCGGGACGCCCAGCATGCCCCAGAGAGTCAATTTCTCAGCATCGCTGCAGATTCACAGTGTCCATACGATACGTCGGGGTTTGTATCCTCGCCACTGGACCCCCAGAGCCTTTGGTAAAATACCAGGAGAGGCGAGTGTGTGTCAGACACCAGAGCTAAGCCCGTCGCTGGTGATGGGCTGAACGCTATCAGGGAAACGGTAACATCAATTTTTCATCCTTCGGAGCAGGATTCAGAGCAGGCACTTGCAGTCTCGGGTGGCTTCGGCTGGGCACCGGGGCTGAGCCCCCTGCACCCTCCTCACCTCTGTCCATCTTTGGGTGCTCGGTCCCGACCTGCTCCTGCCTCCCCGCCCGCCCGAGGAGGTGCCTCCTCCCAGGGAGACGTTTGTCCCGGGCTCCCCACGAGGTGGCAATGCTGATCTCCGTTGCGGAGAGCAACTCTTTCAGCAGGTAGCACGGAGTTGCTGCAGTTAATTTTATGCCCAGTGCCTGGCAAATAACCATCTCCCCCCGGCCTCTCCAGGCTGAACACTGGCTCTGTGCACAGGAAAATCCCAGTGCGTGGGGCCGTGGCAGTGTCTGGTGAGCTGCCAGGTTTGTTTTGGGCTCGGCAGGAGGAGCAGAGAGGGCCCGGAGCAGTCTGTGTCCCTATCGTCCCCTCAGTCGAAGACATGGCTCTGCAGTCGTGCTTTGGGCTGGGGGTGGCTTCTGGAAACCATCTTGTCCCTTAGCAGTGAGCGGTACACACGGACCGCAGAGGGCCCCTGCGACGAGGAAACGTGCTGATGGCGAGGGCAGGGGCTGCCCAGCATCGGTGCTCCTGCTAGACCCGAGGATTTCAGGGGGAAACGCTCCCGCGTGCACCTGCGTTTGTGCGGCACGACAGGCCCGGCGACCCTGGGGCGATGCAGCTCAACCCTGTGCGCAGGGGTCCTGCATCGGTGGTTCCGGGTGCTCACGGGTGCTCTTGGGTGGGCGACCAGCCCTGGGTTGCTGCAGGTCTCTCCCTTTTGAGTCCTGCAAGGCCATTTCACCCTGTGGTCTGAGGTGGGGGGTCTCAGTGTCCCTCCAATACACCTGGGAAGTGTAGCAGAAAGGAAGGAATCATCCCGGCATTTTGCTTTACTGCTTCTCCCGCAGCTCAGAAATACCCTCCGGGCTGGGACATTCCTAGAAACCTGCTTTTCTCCTCTAACATCCTTCCTGCAGCCTCTGTGTGACTGCACAGACTTGGATTCAGGATGAGCTGGATTTTTGATGTACAGTATTTGATCCCATTAGTCAGCGACGGCGGCACTGACAGGCATTAGCCCTGGTGATGAACCTG